CAAACCCTGCCCCTCCGAGCGAGCGCCGGAGAGAAGTTGTTTCGTGACCTGTTGGTCCCTGTGCACGCCAGGCTGGGAGCGGAGCGAGGGATGCCCTCCCTGCATCGCAGCCCGGGCGGGGGGCTGGGGGGCTGGGGCGTCAGGGTTCCCCGAATTCGCTGACAGCCTCTGGGGACGCGCGCATCCTCCAGCCCATTTATAAGGAGCCCGGTGCTGTCACTGGACCCGGAGGCAGCAGCATTTCTGCTTTCGAGGTGTGAAACCATTGCAGGGACCCCTGTCTTCATTTCCTTCAAAAAATCCGTTGCAAGCAGCCGACGGAAATTGTAGAATCGAACAAGATGAGGCAAGTGGCCGCCTGAGGGTACGAAATCAGCGGTGTTGCCTGGTTTTTCTCACCGATTTTCACTTGGATTAGAGGCGGACATGGGTGTGTTTGGGTATCCAAATGCATTTTAAGGTTGGCTACATGCAAACTGCATTCACAGAGCTACGTTTGGGTTTTTCTGACCCTGTTTTGTTTTTCTCTCTCTACCATTTTGTAGATTTCCCTCCTCACTATGTGTTGGACTTGGCCAGGTTAGTTGGAATCTTCAGCATTACGCGGTTTATGTCGTTAGAACTTCTCTGTGTGTCTTTATGTGTAGAACAGTGAATCTGTGTTCTCTGTTTACAGATGGTGGCTACAGTGGCAGTTCTCTGGGTGGGAAAGGCGCTCAGAGTAGTCAAGTTTCCTGACTTTGACAGTAATGTACCTCGAAAGGTAAGAAAAGAAATAAATAAAGTAATTATTTTTTGAAAAGAAGTCACTGTATATATATTACATATATTAATATGTATATAAATCAGTTGCCTTGTGTATTTAAAAATTGTCACCCAATCCAGAGTGGGTATAATGAAAGTAAAGAATAAATGTTATAATATGTACTTTTTACTTATTTATTTTTATTTTTTATCCTCATCCGAGGATATTTTTTCCATTGATTTTTAGAGAGTGGAAGGGAGAGGGAGAGACAGAGAGAAACACCAGTGTGAGAGAGACACATCGATTGGCTGTCTCCCACATGCCCCTGACCCACCCTAGGTGCCATTGACCATAATCGAACCCGGGACCCTTTAGTCCCTGAGGCTGAGGCTCTGTCCACTGAGCCAAACCGGCTAGGGCCTTGGTCGGCAAACTGTGGCTTGCGAGCCACATGCGGCTCTTTGGCCCCTTGAGTGTGGCTCTTCCACCAAATACCATGTGCGGGCGCGCACGTACAGTGCAATTGAAACTTTGTGGCCCATGCACAGAAGTCGGTATTTTGTGGGAGAGCCACACTCAAGGGGCCAAAGACCCGTATGTGGCTCGAGAGCCGCAGTTTGCTGAGCTGCAGTTTGCCGACCACTGGCCGCTAGGGCGTAATAGGTATTTTTAAAAAAGTTCCATAATCTCTTTAAAATTAAGAAAAAAAAGGCCCTAGAAATTATGTATTCTGTTTTACTTACTACTAATGAACACTTTTTTTGGGAATACAACTGTTTTGCATTTTCTGCATCTAATCTAGCCAGTGTATTCTTTATTCATTATTCTCCAGGTTTATTTTCTTATTCTTCTGTCTGCATCTGCTTGGCTCCGCATGAAGATGAAGTGCATTTCCTTTTTCCTGCTGACATTAGAGCTGTGGGCTAATACATGATCATATTTTAAAGTAAACGATGTATTTATCCCACATGTTTGATCATACTCATATTTGTCTCTCCCCCTCCCCCCACCCCCCATGCCTTTCTCTCTCTGCCATAGTAGTGCTATTTATCCAGGAATAATGTTGTTTGAGCACTATGTGGGGGCCAAAATTGTGTATGAGAACTAATTTTGTGTTTTTAAAGGGAAAGAATTTAATCATGTAAACAAAACTGTTTGTTTGAAAGGCCCTGTATTAGCTGTCTTTATTATTGAGTTTTGTTATCCCTTTTAAATTTTCTAGACGTTTCCACTACCTCTACTATATTTTGGGAACCAAATCACAGGACTGTTCAGCACAAAGAAACTGAAGTATGGATACTTTATTTTACTAGTGAGGTTATATAATGTGTTCTTAAAATTGTATTTGAATGTCAAATATTTAACACATTGTTATTGTTGCTGAAATAAATGAAAGGACCAGAAAGCTTGTGCTACTACATAATAAAGATTACACTAAAGGTTTTAGTTTAAGCTCTTTAAGTTTAAAGAGAAAGAGGGTTTTTGTTTGGGGTTTTGATCCCTCAGTTTCATGATAGAAGTCTTAAAGTGTCATAAAATGCTATGACAGAAGATTTTCATTATTTTTCCAGATGTATAGTAGTGAAGGATATATGCTTTGCTTTTGGGATTTCAATTATTTAATGCAATTTATGGATATTATATATTTGACAAATTCTAAAAGCAAAAGCAGAGGGCAGATACGAGAACTTCTGTAGTGTTTCTTTTAACATGTTAAAATAACACCAGATGAACCTTGATTTAAGCATGATTGATATTTTACTCATGGCTATATACCTGTAGAGGCAGCATATTCACTTTTAGAAAGAAGTGATAGCTCTCTACTCTTTGACAATACTGTCTTATTATCCGGTAACTGCCCCATTCTTGGCTTCCATACTTAAGGAGTATAGTATGTATTGAGTGTATGTGATGTTAAAATTACACACACAAGGAAACCATTTAACAGAAATCCATGGCTTCACCACTTCCACATGAGCTAAACCCTGGCCTACTTGCTGGATGAGTATAAACCAGAATGGGGAGATCTCTGAAGATCAGAGGCAAAGTGTTTTTCATTTCTTCTTTAGACCCAAGAAACTTGACAGAAGGACCATGATGATATCTCTGGAGAGTGTTTTATGGAAGTCAAATTTATCATAGGCGGGCATCCTTTTCCATTTCACTACCCACTTGGAAAGAAGTGCAGGCCTGCTGGAAAGGCTGCTTAATAGAGTTTGCTTTTTCATCCTTGCCATCCATCCATTCAGTCACACCCTGTCTTTGATTGCCAGCTAAATATAAGGCACTTTGCAGTAAGATGAGATATATTCATAAATAACTGAGAATTTAGAGGAAGACAAAATTACTTCCACAAAAGGACAATTAAGGAATATCTAATGGAGTAAAATTATGGTAGATGTTATATGGAGGTTGGAGTGGGAAAGGAGGTCAGTAAAGAAAGGAGAAAAAATAAATAAATTCTTAAACTTTATTTTATCTAATTATCTTTTTTTTCCAGCTTGCCAATGTTTACAGTTCTGAGAAGGTTCTCCATCCTGTTTACAATGTTTGCTGAAGGAGTGTTACTCAAGTGAGCTAAATTTCTAATACATCTCTAGTCTTTAACAGACTTTAGTCACTTTGAAAAGGTACCCAGCATAATAATTGTTTAATAAAAATATTAAAGTTATTTGTCTTGCTTCTACTTTATCTTTTGGAAAGTTTAAGCAACTTAATCCCTTTGCTCTTGGAATTGATAGTTTATGGGAACAGTAGTTGGGAAGATTATGAATAGGAGTTAGAAACCTTTTTAAACATGAGATATACTTTGATGAATTCCTATACTTACTGCTGCCACTGGGTGTGGAGGAGTCAGAAACATCGGTATAGTTTTGTGCTTTATTTAAATCCCCACTCGAGGATATGTTTTTATTTTTAGAGAGAGAGGAAGGTGGAGAGAGAGAAACATTGATCAGTTGTCTCCCTTATGCCCCCAACTGGGGATCAAACCTGCAACCTAGATATGTGGCCTGACCGGAAATCGAACCAACAACCTTTTGGAGTATGAAGCTATGTTCCTTGTCTCGGCTACTTTCACTACAAATGTGTGTGACCTTTTTCTACTAAGGAGATTCCATTTTGCTGAAATACAAGCTCAATAATAAACAATAAGAGTAAGGAAAAAATGAGTATATTTATTTATATAAAAAAATAAGATTTGCTTTATCAAAGGGGTTCTTTTAAATATCCAATTTCTTGGAAACATAAAAAATTGGACTGTTTATAGCTTTTTTCAAATATATCTTTTTTATGTGTGTGTGCCTGTGTTATGAATCTTTGTGAATAAAGCCACAGTATACATAATTTTTTTTTTTTGTAGGAAGACTTTTTCTTGGAGTATTAAGATGACTGTATTTGCAATGATTATTGGAGCCTTTGTAGCTGCCAGGTAAGATGTGGGCCTATATAAGCCTGTGAGCTCATTAGAAATTATCAGTAGTTAATAATGATCAATTACCAATAAAGATAATTTTTTATAGGATAAATAAGAATCATATCTTTGAAAAGCATCCAAAGACCCTTCAAAAGTTAAATCTTTTTGAGTTTGTTAAGATCAAGGCTGGTAAAATCAGATTCTTAAAAGTTAAATTCACGTAATTTAGGATTTATTATGCAGTCTTCTACTGATTGAGCACATACCATGTGTCGCACAATATGTTTGACATTTTAGACATAATAGTTCTGTATTCCAACTCTGAAAGGTATGGATATAATTTTTCTATTTTATAGTTGAGGAAACTAAAACGTAAATTCAATAACTTGCTCAAAGTCCCACAGCTAGTAAGCAGCAGAACGTGCTGGAACTTGAATCTGTGCCTGACTCCAGAGCCTATGTGCTTTTATAAACCATGTGGCATTTTTTTTACTTTGTGTGCTGCTGAAGAAAATAGTGTCTCAGAAAAGGCAAGTGATAATGAATTATTTGCCTTGTCAAGTAATGAATAATAGAATTGCTTTATTTGGCCTCACTTAGGATGTATCACAAATGGCATAACTTATTCTACTAAATTATTAAAGCTTTTTCCATTGTTCTTAAGTTTTAGTTTTCAGATGGATGGAGAAAATGTATATCCAAAGACTCAGAAAATTAAAATGATGGCTAGAAGCCTTCTACAACATTTTACTCAGCCCAGGGCATGCATGTTGGGTTTTCTAATGTCACAAATTCTGCCTGACATACATTTTTCATTTGGGAGTTATAATGTACCTCTTGGATTGGCTCATTTACCTTCATCATATCCCTGTGATATGGATAGGGAGGGGGTAGGAATATAGGTCAAATTTTATTCCACCCTAAATCTCCAAGTGAAATTTCATTGTAAAAAAAGGGGGGGAGGGGTAGAATAATTGGTTACTAGAATTTCATTATGTAGCTAACTGCTTTTCTCTCTAGATATTATTGCCTCCTTGGGGAAAAATTCTGTATGGGCATCCTACCTTTCTTTTTGAAGCATTTCCTTGGAGCTGGTGGCATCCAAAATTGAGTCAAACGATAGGGATTCCTCGGGGCTAACATCTGGCCTGCAAAGCTTCTGAGGAGGATTGCTATCTGGACCAGCCTTGTCTAATTAGGACATTTTACTTGGGAAAGAGATTGGGAGGAAGGGAGTCTGAAGTTAGGGGGTTGTCCAGGCTGCTTGAAAGAGGGGCTGTGCATTAGGCTAGTTTTGCCTCAAATTGCAGTGGTGTAGAGCTCCTCAGAAGTCTTGTTCCATGTAGCAGTAGTAGTAGTTTACATATAAATATGTAGTATCTTTGCAAAATCATGGAATGTGGGACCACTGTTTAGCTAGGGTCCTAAACTATGAAGGCATACTTTTCTTAGATTTTCATTTATTTGTTGAATTTAATAATTTTTTTAATCTCTACTAAATACTAGAAAACTTCTGTTTCCCTAATGCCACTAGTTATACCACATAGGCGCATGAAGCAATTATTGCAGTATTTGAATTCCTACTGTGTGCTTTTGGACACTGCTGTAGCTTGATCTCAGAGCTAACCATGATCCACACTTCAGAAATTCCACCTCAGGGTCCAGCCACCTGCGCAAGATAGTCCTGCCTTTTGCGTGAACTTTTGGAAAATGACATGTTAACAACTCATCCGTTTGGTCTCCTTATCTGTGAAATTCAGCTCTGATGCCTTCTGCCTGCTTCAGCTGTAACCGTGAATTTGGTTGCTTGTTGTTGTTGTCTGACTTGGAATTCAGAACGGTGTGCTATTTAACTGACATGATTGTTTGTTGCTAATGATTTTAACTGTTAGTGTTTCTCATTTCTGAAGACTCTACTTACTATAAAATTGCAATTTGTAACTAGAAATCAAGAAATACTAGTAGTTGATAAAATGCCTAATGTTCATTTACCTAGATAAAAATACGTTGTTGCAAATACTCTATTCAAACCTACTTAAAATTAAGGGCGTGTTCCTTAAATGTAAGTTGTTAAAGTGCTGCTTATGTTTTGCAGCTCTGACTTGGCATTTGACCTGGAAGGATATGTTTTTATTCTGATAAACGATGTCCTGACAGCAGCAAATGGCGCATACGTGAAACAAAAATTAGATTCAAAGGTAGGTAGCGATCTAAAGTTTCTTTAAGAGATGTTTACTGATCTTGGGGATGATAATGTCAATTCATCAGGGAAGAAGCGGGGAGTAAAGAAAAATATTTAGGAGGAGTGGGAAAGAAATAGGGGGTCTCTGAGGGTAGAGAAATGTGTCATAAATGATCATGGCTGTATTCTGGAGGACCTGAACAGGAAAGAAATATCTGGAAGCCCTTGAGCAGATTTGAGGAGAAGTGCATGTTGGAAGGGGCTGCAGAAAAAGAATGGACTTTGCCCATTACAGATAATGGGAAACTTTGGGGAGAATTGGTATCTTTCTCTCTCTGGGGCCACACCGAGTTCCCTGGCTCAGATCTCATGCACATGAACTTTATTTACCCATCTCTTTTCTCTCGGTTTGCAACATGCACACAGAGGCTTTAAATATATTTGTTATTAGTTTGTCTATATAGACACACTAAATTTTATTTTTTAGATGAAGTCGGATCATCAGGAAGCGGGGTATTTGAGCCACATTAGTTTACTCCATTATGGTGTAAGGTTACATTATTTTACGAAGAAGACGCTGTGTGGAACTGAGCTTTACATATCATAGGGTTGCTATTGAAGGAGTTGTTTTTTTCTGTCATAATGTATCCTGTATGGGGACCCACATGAGATATTTATCGTAGATGTCACCATGGCTCTTCCTGAGTAGCTGGTGTATTTTATCTCATTGTAACTGACCATGGCTTTATCTGATTTTCCTACCCGTGTTTTCTCTTCAGTCAGATAGCCTTATCCGCTTAGTTTGTACAGTGCTTCTGAAATGACTTTCAGGTCCTTTTTTGGAGTTCAGATCATACATACCAATGCCCTTCTCTGCAGTGGTATTAGTATTGAGTTTGTATCATCTTGGTGGGAGGCTTTACCTTCTCCAGAAAGAACCCTAAAACCCTGGCCATCCCAATAGTTCTCATTTTCAGAGAATGTTGGTTTTTAATATCCTTGAAGAACTGGGGACAGTGTAGATGTTTCCAACAAATTTTCTTTAAACATACCTTGTATGTCTTGTTCTCCGCATACTTGCCTTGACAACTTCGTATGATCATTGCATTTTAATGGGAGCGACTGTTAAAATTTTTGTCTTTCTGAAATAAAGAAAAGGGACCAGTTAGAGATTTAGTTTTATTCTGTTGTGTTTTTTTTTTGTTTCTGTTTTTTTCCTTCAGCCCATTTGCTGCTTTGGAAAATAGGTATGAATAATAACATTTCATTTGTCCAGCAGCCTCAGCTCTTTCAGACAGTACTGTCTAGTAAAGTTTTTCTGTGATAATGGAAATCTTCTGTATTTCTGCTGTCCAGTAATGGTAGGCACTAGCCACATGTGGCTGTTGAACACTTGGTATGTGACTGGTAAAACTGAGAAACTGAATTAGTAGTTTAATGTAATTTTAATTAAATTGAAATAGCTGCATGTGGCTAGTGGCTACCATATTGTACAGCACAGTCTAGAGTTGGGATGGGGAACCTTTTTTCTGCGAAGGCCATTTGGATGTTTATAACATCATTTGTGGGCCATACAAAATTATCAACTTAAAAATTAGCCTGCTGTATTTGGTCAAACATTTAATGAACTCACCCCTAATGCTTTGGCAGGGCCAGACCAAATGATTTCCCAGGCCTTATACGGCTTGTGGGCCAGACATTCCCCACCCCTGGTCTAGAGTATATCCTAGAACCTAGAAAAAAAAATAAAGAGGGTTTCTGAGTATTTTATTCCCAGGAGAGCCCTTTAGTTCTTTACTCAGAAATGACTTGTGACTTATTTGTATGAGACCTTTTAAGCATATTGATCTGTTTTTCATAGTTAATGGATTAGAAGCAACAAACTACAAGATGGAATTCTATTTAGAGGCAGAGAGGCTTACCAGCAGTATGAAAGGTCAGCTAACAATAAGAAAGACAAGCAGGAAAACTATAAAAATCAGATGGAAGCCCTGGCTGGTTTGTATCCTCAGGTGAGGATTAACAACAGCAAAAAAATCAGACGGATGTACTCAGAAATGATTTAGGGGCTATTAAACACCCTTAAGGGCAACATCATATAAGAACAAAATACAGCCCTGGCTGGTGTGGCTCAGTTGGTTGGAGCGTTGTCCTGTACACTGAAAGGTTTCGGGTTCGATTCCTAGTCAGGGCACACATCCAGATTGTGGTCTCGATCGGGACGTGCTGGAGGCAACCCATCGATGTTTCCTTCTCACCTTGATATTTCTCTCTCCCCTCCCTTGGTTCCCCTCTCTGAGGTCAATTAAAAAACACAATGCCCTGACTTTAATACTGTTTATAATGCCCTAAATGAAATTTAGTCTGTGTGCTCCCTTTAAGAAGGCAGAGAAAAAGATATTCAAAACAGTTAAAATGTGAAAAGAAAAAAGCAAAACAGTTTGGCATTTTAGTTTTGGGCAATTGTCAGTTGTCTGGATGGGTGTGTTTTGTGTGGTGTGTAGGCATCCTCTTTAAGAGATGGATAATACTTTGGTCTCTGGCTGACTGGGTGCCTGCTGTTTCAAATTGTTTTGTCCTATGGCTTTTTTCTTGCTGCCTTAGAAATGAGGTACTCCTTTCTCTGATGCTTGTGGTGGCCATAAGCAATCAGTTTTTTGGTTTATCCGAGAGGCAGTATGGCCACACTGAGAAGCTTTTAATAAAAAGGACTGCTTATAATCCTGGTCCTTTGAGCATGAGTCATGTGGCATAAAAATTTAGGGCTGCATTTCAGACATGTATGCAGCTATTGAATTTAAAATATTTTTAACTTTAAAGAAATCACAAAAAATACTATTTATAGAAATATTCTTTTTTAAATGTTTTATTTATTGCTTTTAGAAAGAGAGGAGAAAGGAAGGGAGAGAGAAAGAGAAACATTAATCTTGTTGTTCTATTTATTTAAGAACACTCATTAGTTGATTCCTGTATGTGCCCCGACAGAGGATCGAACCCGCAACCTGGACATATAGGGATGATGCTCTAACCAACTGAGCTACCTGGCCAGGGCAATAGTACATATTTATAATAAAAGTAGTAGAAAATATAGATAAGCGAGAGGAAGAAAACATAAATATTCCTTAATTCTACCCTCTAGTGAGAAGCACTGTTTTAGTGGATATCCTTTAGTGTGTGTGTGTGTGTGTGTGTGTGTGTGCATGTACACACCTAACTGTGTAAAATTTTTAAGGAGCGATGATATATAATGTTTTCTAATCTATATTTTTCATCTAGTACTGTTTCATGAACACCTTTCGGTATTAAACATTTTTAGTAGCTGTATAATGTTTCATTGTATGGTTGTATCATAGTTTAATCAACTAGTTTTCTGTTGTTGGATATTTGTCTCCAGTTTTTCAAAGCTTCTTTTGAGAAGGTGGTTTGACTTTTTACACAATTCAGGGATCTTTCAGCTACAAAAATTAGCCAAATATCATGTCCTTCTCCTCACTACTTCTTCACCCCCTGACCCCTGAAACTCTGGGCCTACTTTTTCAGGTGACTCTGCTTCCCGATGAATGTCCCAGAAGTGTGTGAGTCAGAGGTAGACCCAGAGTTCTCATAGGCTCCCTGTGTTTGAAGATGTGCGGGGTCCTTCATTGCTCCCCGGTATTCGAGGATACAACTAGACATACTCTGTTTTGGGAATTGTAGATAGAGTAAGCTAAATTTTTAATATACTTCACGTACACATTTTCAGAAATACTTCCCTGGGAAGTTATACCTGCCTGTGTTGGTTAGGTGTGAGTCTGTGTGTCTGGCTCTGTCCAGCCATCTCTGAATGGCACTCTATTATGGTTCTGAAAAGCCCAAGGCCAGCTTGATGACCTTTGATTCAATTCCGGAAGGGAAAGGGCTTCAGAGATGGATTTTTGTAGAGATGTATGTATGTGTTCAATATAGCCTCTTCCCTATTGGCTGTTTTGAGGCAACAGTTGATGTCATTTTTATTTCTTTATTTTAGAACATAAGTTGTTTTTTTTTTTTTTGAAAGCTTAGGCTACTTCTTGATGTTTGAAAACTTCTGACTTGGCCTAAGTTGCTGTGCATATTGTGGGGGAGGTGTATGGGTATAGTGGGGGTGGGACTTTATATAGGGTTTTGTATATCTTATCTGCTAGAACCAAATGAAACACCTAATTATTTACTATCCTAGGAGCTGGGAAAATATGGTCTGCTCTATTACAATGCACTGTTCATGATTCTGCCCACCCTGGCCATTGCGTATCTTACAGGAGATGCACAAAAGGTAGGCGTTTCTAACACTGATTTAATGCCTTATGTTTTTTAATTGTATTGTTTATGAACAAAAGATAAACTGTGGAGTTGTTAAGTAATGTACTTATTAAGGGACCAAAATCAGAATGTACTTTTTAGCTTGCTAATGTCATGCTAACCCTTTTTCTTGGCATAAGTATTGGATAGTATTAAAATGGCTCAAAATAGCTCTGGCTGTCAACATAAAAATAGTGCATGCCAACCAGTGTCCTTTTCTTATGGGCCAGAAGGATGGAGGAAGGGAATTTTTACATTTCTGCTAACCTACAAAATAATAGTAGCAAGCTATCCTTGAAAAACAGAAAACAAAAATCTTGAAATAGTAGAATTCTTCAGACTTGAAATTCTAGATCTCTCTAGAAGCTTCTTTTCTGGTGTAAAATTTGTCATCCGCTCTTAAATCCCAAGCTGTTTTTTCCCCCCAGGAGATATTAGCACTGTGTGGTGACTTAACCATATAAATAGCAAATAATATAATAGTTTACTCATTTCCAGCAAATGCTTAGCTAAATAAATCCAGAATAGAGGGACAAAATAAATCCAGACAAGAATTTTTCTCTAAAACAAGCCCATATTCATAGGCAAAAAAGTTGATACCATTTTGTTAGAATTCACAAAAATTTTGCAAACTACGTAAACGGACATCTAGAATTCTGCCAAGGATTTCTGTACCGAGATTCCTTCTAATGATTCCTCTGGCAGGTAGTTCTTCAGAATAAGTGTGTTGGTTCTGTACTCCAGTAGCAGTGACAATTTCCACAAAGTAGTGGAAAGTAGTTAGATTATTAAAAATTGCTCTTGAATTAAAGGTAGGAGAAGACTGACTGTTTTTAAAGTTGTTGTGTGTGTGTGTGTGTGTGTTTCCCATCAAGAACTTCCGTAAAAACAAAAACTGGCACAGATCATCTTGAACATGTGTAAAGGTTTAATGAACTGTGTAACCGGGCTGCTAGCAGGCCCACAAATGACACCAAAGTAGAAAACGGAGCTATTGCTTTAACTGCTCAAGAGCGTTGAATAAATATTTTGTGGCTGCGAAAAAAGTGGGAAGAGAAACGAACATTTATTGAGCCTCTGTTAGGTGCTAGTCACTTTATGTATGTGATACGATGTAGCCCCCATAACAGCTCGTTTGCCCATGTGGAGATGAAGTTCAGAGAGACTAAGTAACTAGTGTCACACTGTCTGTGGAGAGTAGAGTCAGGATTTAAACCCAAGCTTGACTCCAAAGGCCCTGGTCTTTCTGCAGGGTTCTGCCTTTCTCTAGCAGACTGGCAGAAGCAGCCCTTGCTCTTTAGCTTTGGGGCAAGAATGTGATGCAAAATAACCAGGCCCTCCTCCTTGGCAACACAGATGATTGCAAATCTTGAGGCCAATCTGTACGTGAGAAAGTTGGAAGGAGTTAATGTGGTTGGCTAGGTTATTCTACACGCTTGGCAAAGGTGGAATTTTCATGAACTTGAAATTCTGACTAGTAGCTACTTGAAAAAATTGAACCAAAGGAGAAATATCTTCATTCCAGAGTGATTATAATTTAACTAGAAGTTATATGCATAATTCATGCCTATTTGAGTAACACACATTTAATATGAAATGCTTCAATATAAGTAAGAATGTTTACTCATTGTGGAAAAATTACTTTGCCACCTGGATGAGAATGAGATTTAGATTTTCTCCTTCTTTTCTTTTTTTTTTTAAAGCAGAGGAGTGAAATTTGAGTAATGTTTGTTTTTCCCCAATGAAAATGCCAGGCAAAGGTCAAGAAAGGTTTATTTGGGAAGAATAATGGTTCATCTAAATACGTTGAAATTGGGATGATAAACTAATTATGGGAGCTGAACTCATTGCTTTGTAATCAAACCCCACCAGTATTTTGATCTCACATGTTTGTTCATTCTCACTCTTATTATTAGACTACTAGGGGCCCAGGGCATGAATTCGTGCACCTTGAAAGGAATTGTGGGCTGCAGTGGGCACAGGAGAGGGTTTCGGCCATCAGTCAGTGCTGTAAGTACAGGTTAGGAAGAAATGTATGTAGGCTGAATATCAAGATTAGCTTTTTAATCCTCTTCCATTTTACACCCCACAATGCACCCAAAACATTTCTTCCACAAAACCTGTCATAGTTTATTGCTCTGATGGTGACAGGTCTGCTCCACAAGGTGACTGTATGGTCCTCAAAAGCAAGAATACCTCAGAACTCATCTTTTTTTCTTATCGCCTGAGCCTAATACTGTGAAACACACAAGAGCATTTAACTAAAGGAGATAGGGCTTAGTTTTCTTATCTACCAAATGCAACAAGTAATGCTCACCTGTTCTAGGGGTGGTTGTTGAGATATAACTTAGAGAGGTGCCTGAGTGGTTTACTTTTATTAACCAGCACAGAAACAAGGGGTGGAAGCCATAGACAGCCTGATGTGTCCAAGAGGCTCATAGTAGTCTACAGGAATTGCAGCTTATTTCTTCCACTGGAAGATTCAGTCTCAGAGTAGTCAGTGGGCTGTTTGAAGTCTGGCAACGAGTTCCCATGCAGAGTGGGAGATGTGGCAGGATTTCAGGTAAGAGTTTTCCAGTGCCAGTAAGTCAGGTTCGTTTTCAGCGTGTGTCTTTTGGAACCGTGCTTTTTCTCCGAAATACGTACTGGTGTACCTATAAGTTGCCAGACATTCATATATGTGCATGTATTTTTTAAAGAATGGGTGCTTTTTCGTGTGACAGTGTATCTTTAAATAAAGCTGTTCCCCAGTGAACAATCTGGGCCTCCTCCTGGCCTTTAGTAATACCGTAAAGGGTATGATGCCTTGTACCTGATAAGATGCTCCCACATAAAGTATTTTCCCTGATCCTCATTGTATACCTGTGAGGTATACAAATTATCTGATTTGCAGAGGTTAAGGACATGCTTAAGGTTGCACAGTGTCAGAGCTTAGAGCCTGCCTGTCTGACTCCACATATTGGTAGATCCCTTGCTATTTGCTTGACTACATCTTTGCTCCCTCCCTGACTAGGGCTTTCCTCCAGAACAAGCTACTGAACGTGAAAAACACTCCAGGGTAGTATTAGAAGTAGAGTCTCTGAAGCTGGGCCTTGTTGTAACTTAATTGTTTACAAATAATCTTATTTCTTTCATTCACTGAATATTTTTTTTTTATTATTGATTTTCTACAGAGAGGAAGGGAGAGGGATAGAGAGTTAAAAAAGACATGTTGCTGCTTTAAAGGAGCTTGAATTCCAGTGGCATGAGATGGACTACACATAATTGTACAATAAGAACTACGAAGAGACATAGAATGAAGAGAGTGACCGGAGAAGTCCCATTTGCATCAGAGGGTTAGGAAAAGCCTCTTTGTCAGGTTCCTTTGAGCAGACACTCAATAGGACTGAGATCCCAATGGTTGTGGCTCTTCGGAAGGATAATCTAGGTCAAAGGAAGTGCGGGTTCTAAGAGCTGACGTGGGAGTGCCTCGCTTGTTCACAAGGGACATTTTCTGAACAAGAAAATATCAGGCAAAGTCAAGGTGGGCCTTGAAAGATGTGGAGGAAGAAAAACAAAGGGTAATCCCAGGTGTGACTACTAGCATGAGCACAGGCTCAACCACAAGAACTAGACTCTTCAGGATGCTTAGAAGGAGGAAATCCAAGACTTTGGAGACTTGAGAACAGACCTTAGAGAGCATGGTTCAGGCCTCTTCCTCACAGATGAGGAAACGAGCCCAAAGAGGGCTCAGGACTGGAACCCAGACTTCCTGACTCTGTGACCAGTGCTCTCACTCTTCCCACCACACCATACCCTGCTTCCTTCCCAGTTGGGACCAGTGTTCAATACAGGAATTTGAAGTTTACTCTGCAGATAGTGCCAAGTCCCTAAAAATAAGTGGTACAGGGGAGAGAATTTGGGGCCAGAAGGCAGACGACCAGCAATCTCTAATTCTTTCCCTGACCACGGTCTTACTTTGGACAAGACCCCTGCTCTCCTGTCCTGCTTTGTCATGTGTACACTGAGTAGGTTGGATCAACCCAGTTGGCTGCTTCTCTAGGTAGGGCCTTTCCAGGGCTGCGACAGTTTCTGAGAAGTAGAAGGCATTCCAGTGTGGAGACAAGGCTGCTGCTCTGACAGCTGGCAGGAGCCCAGCCGCTCCCTGACTCCTGGTGACCAGTGCTGATAAACTCTTCTTATCTGCCGGGCCCCTGGCTTTCCTGACCCAGGTCTGTTATGTAATTAAATGAAAAGATCTCCAAGATAAATTGTTAAATGAAACACACAGTATAAAACTGTGTGATATGCTACCTTTTGAGTAAAATAAAAAGGGAACAGTAAGAACATATATACGCATACATTTTATTCACTATTTAAGTAAAAAACAACAACTAGACGAATATACATGAAACTAATAAAGCAACCACCTGTGTGTGTGTGTGTGTGTGTGTGTGTGTGTGTGTGTGTGTGAGAGAGAGAGAGAGAGAGAGAGAGGGGGGGGGGGGGGGGGGGGGGGGGGGGGGGGGGGGGGGGGGGGGGGGCATGAAACGTTCCTCTGTCCTGCAAGCTTCTTCAGCTGGTCTAATAACTAAATCTGCGTGAGACAGATTAACAAGAAAATAACCAGATTAAATTACATGTGTACATATGGGAACCCACAGGCGAGGTTCAGGACAGGAAGTTAAAATGGCGTATATATGACATTCTGACCCAAGGAGGAGGAAAGGTGCTCTGGGGCTCCAGGGGAAGGTTATTGCAGGACGATAAGAAGAACAGATGTCTAGTAATTAGTAGTTTGCCCTACCATATAGATAGATAGGTCGGAAAGGTTATCTCTGATAATCTCTTCTTATGGGGAAGGCCCTTAATTTAAGTTCTTCTAAGGCAGTGGTTCTCAACCTTCCTAATGCCGAGACCCTTTAATACAGTTCCTCATGTTGTGGTGACCCCCAACCATAAAATTATTTTCATTGCTACTTCATAACTAATTTT